GGGGGGGGGGACACTGGCACTGAGGACAGAGGTGCGGTGTTAGCGGCTGCCTGGGGGCTGGAGGAGAGACATAGGGGGGAGGGATCAAGGTTGAAATCAAGCATTGAACCGTTTAAAAGGTTCTGCCAGGGTCAGATGGGGTTTTAGTCATTTGATTCTCAACTCCTTTGGGATTCTCTAAGCCTTGTGACTGTATTCCAAATCCTTCGGTTGCCAGTAACAGCTAATCCTGCCAAGGTCACAGAATCCATTCCCCTGTGAGGTGCCTTGTTGTGGCCTTGGACTAGCTCTGAGTCATGGAGCAGGGGCTGGGTGTGAGGGGATGCCTGGGCCGGCTAGGTCACATGGAAGAAGTTGGGGTCCTTTTCAGGACAGGTCCCCTGTCCCCCTGAATCTGACTGTACCTGCCAGGTAATTGCTGACTTGGCAAGCCCAGATCTCCCCTCGTGCCCTGACTCTTCCAGTCTGCCTCCAATGGACCGGGATCTCCCCATGGTTTGGCCCACGGGAGAAGTCTCAGGAGCTGTTCCCACTCCGCCTCATCTTTTGGGCCCTGGCCCCACCTGGGACTTCCCCAGCAAACCACACCTGTAACTTGCCCCACTGGATGCGGCCAACACATCGGGGGGCGTTGCGCCAGGCCTGCTTGGCCCCGAACACCAGTTCACTCTCCCGAAGCTGGTAGGTGCCCGTGGCTGCCACCTCAGCTTCTACCTCCTGAAGTCGCTGCTCGTGGGCCTGGGAGCCGCTCCTGAGGGAGAAGGAAGTTGGGTCGGGTGGGGAGGGCACACAGGGCTCTGTGGTTTTGGGACTGGGGGACAGCAGGACTGGGTGCAGAGAAGGGGACCCTAGGTGTGCAGGGCCTCAGCAGGCCCCTGGCAAGCTCCCACCTCCTGATGGAGCTGTAGTACTGGTGGATGAAGTCCCGGGCCTGCCTCAGAAGCCTCTCAGGGGATGCAGGGTCCAGGGATGCTTGGCTCTGTAGTTTCCTCGGAAACACCAGGGAGCCCAGGCAGTGTCTTGGGGTGCAGGGTCCAACCTGAGACAGAATGGGGTGGAGGTGGTGGTGGGAGCATGGAGCACAGGTCCGGACCAGGCCAGAACGAGGTCTCCGGGATGAGGTCTTGAGGTAGGGGGCTAGGATTGGGGTGGGAGTAGAAATATGGGTGAAACTGGGTTAGGTCAGGCAGCACTTGGGCAAGGACTGGAGGTTGAATCACCAAAGGTCCCTGGGATTGGGGGCTTGTCCTACCACCTGGTCTCATTCCTTGTTCTTTTCACACCTCATCTCCCCTCTTTAGAGACAGGGTCTGACTCAGGGAACTTCCTGCTCAGGATCATGCCTGAGACCTTGCATCAGCAAACCTGAGCCCAGCCATCTCAGGGTCTGGGGTGGGGGTGGGGGGAGAGTCTTCACCCTGACCTCACCTGCTGCGCCTGGGAACTCAGGGTGTCGTAGGTGATGCTCCCCTCTTCCCAGTTCTTCACGCGAGGGAACTTGGGCCTCTCCGGGCTCTGGGTTAACGGGGGGCTGTTGAGAGCCAGGGATGGGATCATGAGGGAGGAGCTTCCTCCCTTTGGGCTCCCTTCTGGCCTCCTAGTGCCCAGTCAGGTCTTGGGAGCCTGGTTCTAGGCTGAGCCCTGGCCAGCCACTCCCACATGGGGTCCTCTGCCATCTAAAAGCGGTATCCTTCAAGGGCACAGTGGAGGAGTCCATGCTGACTCATAGTGACCTTATTGGACAGGGTAGAGCTGCTCCCTTTGAGTTTCCGAGACTGCAACTCTGTACAGCAATAGAAAGCCCCATCGTTCTCCTTCAGGGGAGCCGCTGGTTTCAAATCGCTGACCTTGTGGTGAGCAGCCACTCAACATGGAGCCACCATGCCACCAGGCCTCCTTAAAGCCGAGGGAGGCAACAGCAAAACGATTTCTCAGCCCAGATCTCTGCTGCCCACTCACACCCTCCTGATAGTAGTGGATCCTGTAAAGGGAAGCCTTGGAGGCCTTATCACTTCCTCCCAGAGCTGACAGCCCCAGGGGAGGAAGGGAGGGACTCAGGCAGGGTATGCCTCTTTGCTGAGCCTGAAGCCCCTCCCTGTGTAGGCTCTGGACCCTCTTCTGCAGCCCCAGCCTGGTCTCCTCCCTGTGCCTCCTCTTTCCCACCTCTGCCCTAGGGAAGACCCTTCCAGGGGTCGGCGCTGCAAAGCCAGGTGGGGCTGAAGGTCGTCTGGAGGCGAGATCTGGAGGGAGAAGGAGCCTGATCCCCAGTTCCCAATGCTTGGGCCTCCTCAGGCTTCCTTTCAGGCTGGAGGCCCCTGGCCCAATGCTCCCACTTCCATGAGACCCATCCTAACTTTTTTCTTCTCCAGTTAAAGAACAGTTACTACTGTTTGTTGATGGCCTGCGGTGAGTTAGAGACTGACAATGATCTCATGGAATCCCCAGGCCCCAGCTCACTCTGTATGACAGAGTGGATATGACAGTATTTCCCATGTAGGTTTCTGTGACTAGGAGTGACGGAAGCAAAAGAACAGCTGGGGGTTAGCAGGCCAGCGACTAACCCACTACACCACCAAAGCTGCTTCCCCATGGGCTCAGCGGTTCCACGTCCCTTTTTACATTGCCTGGGGCAGAGAGGCTGAGTAACTTGCTCAACATCACACAGCTCCTCGTGGCAGATAGGGTTCAAACTCTGGCCTGATTTCATAGGTGGGCCTCGTCACCCACTTTTGTCTGTCTGCCACTGCCCTGACTCTGCTGCCTTATTCGACCCTAGACAGTGGTGATTACCCGGCCCTCCCACCTGGATGGGAAGCTTTGATCACACACCTTCTGCCCACCTGCTCCAAGCAGCAACTGCCCTTACCTGTGATCCGGCGAAGGTGGAGGCACGGGTGCTGGCGCCTGGCTGGGCTCTGAGGCTGGCGAGACTGGGTCCTGCTTGCTGCACAGCCCAAAGCCCAGGCCCAGGCCACAGGGTGGTCTGGGCTCCTGGGCTACACTCTTCAAGTTGCCCATGTCAGCGGCTCTTCAGCTCTGCTGCTCTGAGCTGAGCCCTGGCTTTTTCCTTAGGAAGTAGGGAGGGGGCTGGGGGTGCAGTGGGAGGGGATTCTCCAGCGCTGACTCTCGCCCCGCCCCGTCCCCTACACAATGGGACAGGAACCAGCCTGGTTGGGAGGCTGTGCAGTCATGGCTTCATGCCCGCTGGCCCACAGGGTTGGGGCTGGACCTTTAGCTCTGATGCGAGAACTACAGCAGATAAGGGGATGCCCGGTGTCTGGCAGAGCGCTGGGGTGGGTGTAGGAGTTGGGGCAGGAGGAATGGCAGAGGGGGGAGGTCACCCTAGGTTATGGTGGCAGGCCTCCCACCCTCATAACTCACCAACCATTTCCCAAAGGCCAAACAGACGCTAGACCTGTATCAGGAGCAGACAATGAGGGGTCCAGACCCCTAGTGACCGCAGGGACCTCTAGGGCCACTCTAGGCTCTCTCATTGACCACCCCTTCCCATCTCTAAGTGTCCCTGGACTGCCCATTCCCAGGTCCTCTTGGGTCCTTGAAGACACTGACCCAGCAAGAACACAGTGGCGCTTTTTCCTGCAGTCTGGCATCAGGGTATCCCATCTCTTCCCAATTTCCTGGAACCCCTGCCACTCCCCCTCTTCACTCTCACTCAAAGGGGGGACACAAAAGAGCAGGAAGCTGCCACCCAGAGTCTCCACCCCCACCTCGTCCTGCATTGACACATGCTTCCCAGGGGCAGTAGGTCACCTGAGAGACCAGCAATCAGGGCTGGGCCTACTGGAAGAAGTCTTGGAGCCAAGCCGTGGAGAGCATGTGGGAAATGGTTGGCTACCGTGCCCCCAACGCAGGCCACGTGCACCAGTAGGCTTTAAGCACCTCCAGCACTTGTCCTTGTTGCATGGTATATAGTTTTGGAGAAAGGCCATGCCATGGGGCCATCTGGGACTGTACCCCAGTGTACCCCATGTTCCTGTAAACATGGGAGACTTGCTGCCTGTCTGGGGCTGAGGGGTAGGCGGGGTGGGAGAGTGGAGTGGGGTGAGCACACAGACACAGGCCTGGGCGCTGAGCCTGGACCCTGCGGCCTTACTTTCTCCACTGCTGCAGGAGAATGCGGAGGAAGCCTGGCTTGGTTTCACCCCTTGGAATAGCCACTTTCTCCAGAGTTCAGTTCAGACAAGCTGATCTCTGTCCACGCTCTCCTCCATCTTGGGGAGTTTGCTCGTGTTTCACCCGAAGCACAAGGCCACGCCAACACACTTGCTCTGTGTACACTGCCCATGCGCTCGACTCTGGACAAATGGGCTTCCTCTCAGCTTCCCAAGCAGGCCTGACACCAGAAGCACCTCTCCTGCTGGGGCTCGCCTTCCAGCAAGAATCTACCAGGGAAGGGCAGTGACCTGCCCTGACCGAGCCAGGCGCTCTAGAAGCCTGGTGAGAGGCTCAGAGTATGTAGGGATTCCTTACAATCCTTCTCCAAAGGGCCAGAGATGCCGCAGGCCCTGAAAGCTCTCTCCAGCTGCTCCTGGGTGCCCCCTTCCCTTCCCTGGGCAACACCCTAACTGGCATCTGTGCCTTCCAGAGAACCCAGTTGCACAAGTTCCTCTCCGAGACCTTTCTAAAGGTCCCCTGCCCGCTCTCCCCGCTAAGCAGTTCTTGGTCACCCTGGTCCCGTGTCTGGAACATCCCATTCCTCTGACTCTTCGCTTTGTCATTCTGCTCCCAAGCTGTGTGCCCTCTGGAAGGCCCGGACAGGTCTGCTCCCTTGGGGACATTCGATGGGGCCCAATGCTGCCTCTTCACTGAGTAGGTGTTTCATCAACTTCGATCCATTTAGCGGGAGATGTGCACTCACCCTTCCAGGAGCTTGAATCTGGGTGCTGGAGCCAGTGGGGAGGGCCCCCTGAAAAGGAGTTATTGAGACTAGGGGTCTTTGGGCAGCGAGGCTCAAGAGAGAGTATTCTCTGGCCACAAGGGAAATTGGGGGGTGGTCTGTCCTGCAGGCACTGAGGGGGGCTGTGGGACACAGTGGATTGGAACTGGCATTGGATCTGGGGCTGCACCAGCCATCGCAAGGATTCTAGGAGAAGGGGAGAGCCCCAGCAAAGCCAGAGTGTGGGAGGTGGGAACTGTCACAACAAGGACTCTCTCCTCCTCGCCATGCTGCTGGGCTGTGTGTCCCCATGAGTCCCCAAGGACTTGGGCCCTTGTCACTGAGGTGAGATCCTCCCTGGCTCCTCGACACTCTCCTGCCTCCTGCCTTCCCACTCAGACCAGGTCCCTGCGCAGGTTTGCAGTGGGCATGCCCTGCTGTGGGGGCCCCTCTGTTGGGAGTGAAGGCCCTTGGTGCCTTTGAGTAGGTTGGCGGGGCCTGTGCAGGGGGAGGGTGGAGGGTGTCGGGAGCGGAAGGTCCTGACTCTTTATAGCCCAACCAGGGGTTGTTCAGTGAGAGCTGGAAGTACCCCACCCTCCCGACTGTGAGCCGATTCCTTCCTGCCTGCTGGCAAGGACTGGGTGGGGAGTGGAGAGGAAAGGAGGGAAAGGAGGTGGGAGGTGCAGGAGGGGGCCCTTCCTCTGCCCAGGGAGACTCCCTCCTCCTCAGGATATAACTCATGCTGTGCTGTGAGATTGGGAGGGCAGCGGGTTACTCAGCTTCCAGGTCAAAAGGTTTGGTCTTGAAGTTTGGGAGAGACATTGGACTGAGGTCTGGGTTGTTGGGACATCTGGTGATGGAAAGAGGGAAGGTGTTGCTTGCCTGAGAAAGGCACTGGGGAGCCATCCCTCTGTTTTGAGCATCTTGATGTAGCCACAGAGAGGCAGCAGAGAGCTGCCGAGAAGCAGTTGGAGGGAAGTCGGGGTTCAGACTTCCTCAAACAGCTGAAGGGTGCTGGGGTTCTGGGCAGTGAGGGGGGATCTGATGGGACACGCCTGTGATCTCCACTTGGTTAAAGGGTTCACACCAGTCCATGACTCATTTGCATAAGTGTGAAGCTTTTGATAGAGACTAACGAACCCACCCCGAGGGCAAGTCTTATGCGGTTCCCTACTTCCTGTATGGACCAGTGTGGTGAATTGTACAGAAGACCACAGCCAGCACAACTTGGCCGTGGCCATGGCCATTTTGCAGTGGCTGCTGTGAGAGCGGACGTTCCAGTAGTCGGGGCATATGGGGAGGAGAAGAGGGGCCCCATCTCATTTCTGGGTCCCTGTGGAGGTAGCCAGCCCCCGACAACTAATCATGGATTTGGTAGGCACAGTTGTACGGTTAAGATATATAAAGATTATAGTAAAGTCATAGAGAAATAGGAGAGATGGGAGAGAGAGTAACATAAAGAAGTCAGACACATTTCATAGTAGCATGCTCACCTCAGCTCCTCTTGGTGATACACGTGGAGGTGGGGGACGAGAGGGCCGGAGAGGGAGCATCGTGAGGTTTTATTTCTAACCAAAGCTTATCTATCTTTGAAGGCATGCAAACCCTCTGATTACAGATAACAATCTGCATCATAGGAAGGGGTTGTAACATAGGCAATACGAGCAATAGGAGGGGGATGACCTAGGGGTGTACATGCAATAGTAAAGGGAGGGAGTAGGGGTACATATGTGGCAAGATGAGTGGACCCTAGACTCGATATGGTAACCTAAGCTAAGTCATCCTAGAGTGGTCCCGGGCTTGCCTTCGGGCACTCCTTCAAGGGAACAACATCAGAAGGGAGTGGTCAGACTATACAGTCTGGTTGCTCTAGATGGCTGGTACCCTTAAGGAGAATAACCTCTGACCTACTTTCGTTGATCTCCCAGTGTACAGTCATTTACCATGCGTATCAAGTAGCGTCTTGGGTTTGGCATATATTTGGGGGAGACAACTTGGGAGAAATCTTTCTGTATCCCACAGGTCCCTAGGGCAGAGCCAGATGGGCAGCCTGACCTGCCTGGCTCTGTACAAGAGACTCCTCTTGCCTCCTGGCTCCGAAATATGAAAGACATGGGGATTAGAGGCCGTTGAAAGCCTTAAGACTTTGCCCTGGTAATGAAAGAGACTCTGCTTTGGGGAGTGTGGTAAGTTACATAGTTTCATGCCATCTTGATGTATAGAATGTAGGGGTGGAATCTAGCTTGTCAATCAGGTCACAGTCTGGAGGTGCCTCCTTGTGGGGGTGACCTTCTCGTAGGGAGGGTCCTGGGAACCTCCTGCTCACTCTCTGCCTTCACTTTCCTGCTGTTGAGACACCACTGTTGAAAACTCCCGAAACCGTGTTGAGGCCTGCAGAGCCTTGGGATGCAGCCACCGTCATTGGATCCACAAGACTTTGCACCCACTGGCCTGTGAGCTTTCTGCTTTCTGCATCGTTGCATGTGTCTGTGTGAGTTTGAAGAGGTATTTATGGACTAGTATCGGAATTACGAACTTGATCTGGACTGGGTTGGGATGTTTGCTTGATATATGAGCTCGTATAATTACTTCTTGATATAAAGCTCGCTTACACATAATGTGAGTGTCCTTGGATTTGTTTCTCTAGTCAACCCGGTCTAACACAGGGAGCTTCGGGAGGATTTATATTAACATCCTGAAGGGCAATTTGGGTGTCTTCAGGCTTTGATTCCCTTTAAGGATTAAACTTTTCCTTCTGAACCACCTCCCTGAAGATTCTGTGCTTGTGGAGTGTGTGTGTGTGTGTGTGTGTGTGTGTGTGTGTATGCACTCTTGCATGGCAATGATCCTAAAGGTGGAGGTGGTGGTGGTGGAGACTCACTCATTCACTCACCTTCTCATCTTGTGTCTGTCCCTCTAAAGCTAATTTGCCTGAGAACACTAGTGGTGGATATGAATATTACAGCATCTACAGTGACTTGAAATTGCTTTCATTCTTGGATCAGGAATGAAAATTGAAGGGTCAGGGTAGCAGCTCCCAAATGCTGGTCATAGGACTCTTGTGTCAAGCCAAGGGGACCCCATGTAATAGGCTATACTGATGTAAGGGGACCCCATGTAA